GGTGAAGAACAAATTGGGGTTGGTACTTGGCATACATGATTTTCTCATACATCAAAAGGGAAGTAAGATAATTAGTGCTTATTATTTTTAAGATTTGTTGGCTAAACCAAAGATTGGAGTAAGATGTGAATGCTTGTCTTTGGTGTGAGTGTCAATGATTCAGCTATCTACTCTATTCATTTTCATGCTGGATATTTCTAGCACATATATAGGGGAGTTTTTTATGCCAGAATTCAGTATTACTTCCCACATGGAGACTGTACAAGCTTGCTGATTTGGTGTCTTCCTTTCCTTTCCCCAGTAATTTCGTCAGTAGGTTTGGAAGGAAAAATAGTTGCACAAAAATCATTGATGTAACACTAAATTAGTCGCTCTCTATGCAGAAAGGCAATTCTGTACAATTCTGCACAGTATGCGTTGACATGTCTGCCTGATGTCATATCTCAAAATATCTGTGTATCAGTGTAAAGCTGCTGGAACTATGAAAGACTAAACTATAGTCTGTGCACTGGCTGCTTACAACTATCTGACCTCTTATTTAGCAGTATCTTATCATGCACTACTGTCTTAAGGATAAGACACAGCTGGTTTTACTGTAATTCGTATGAACTTTGACCCCTAATAAGGAAGCTGTAATCGCATACTGCTTCCTCTGCCGCAGTGACCATGGTAACCGTTACCAAGGGAGTAGACTATGGAATTTTCCAGCACAGACAGAGCCTCTTATTGGTCTTTTCATTGGAGTGGTCATATCTCAGGCAGAAACAGGAGAAATTATGACCATATTTCAAATCTGGCCATATAATGAATTGCCATTACTGATCTTTAATTGTCATCTAACTCTTCACAAGATACAGTAGAATGAGTTTTTGAGAAATATTAATAGAAATTTCAAATTTGCTGGCTTGTAGGCATACAATGTCAAGCAATTCAAGTTTAAATAAACACTTTAAACAAGGCTACTGAGAGCTATGGGAAATTTTAGGTACCACTGGGCATTTATAGAAGATTCTAGAAGATTTGTAGAAGTATTATTAATATTTAATGTCAACAATGCTGCCTTTCTTTTCTTGTTCTCATCATGTCTGTGTTTGTGGAGATTTAAACATAGACTTATTCAAACAACAGTACATACAAAGTACAGCCTGGGACGGTGTCCAATCAATTCTTCTTAATGACATCAGTGCTGATTTACCCATTTTTGCAGGTTTCTTAGATCCAATCTGCCAAACTGCTCATCTCACAGAAGACAAAAGGGAAGAACCCTGTATCTCTTCTTCACTGATTCTCCACCTTCTGCTACTGGATGTCACATCTTCTAAGATGACATCTAAACATCCAATCACATTATTAACATCTAATTACCTGACCACTTTATCATCGTTTCGCTATCTATCTGACTTACATGATTTACCACAAAGTTAAAACTCTATAATCACTTAAGAAAAATTCTATCACATATGGATATAATTTGTTTCATGTTCCATTCAGTTTATGTAATTCTACCTCAATTACATTTGTCTTTAGCACATTCTCACATGAACATTCATTCTAACATAATTACTTTCTAATTCAAATACAGAGGAATAATTTTTTTTTACTTTTTAAAACTCTGTGTTTTTCACCATTTATTCAATGCAATTTCCTTTTATTAATCATTATATTTAAATAGTCAGACATTCAGTGGCTCCTGTGTGTCGTTTTCACCCCCACTCTGCACCACACACACCTACACACCAAGGTCAGACTCTGCACAGGCTCTCATATTGCATAGATTGTCATGATCCTGGGTCCTTTTGACCCAGCGTTTTTGTGTTTTCTGTTATTGTGATTTTGATTCTGTTCTTCCTCTGTTTAGTGTTTATTCGGTTCTGCCCATGTATTCCTGTGTTAAGTCCGTGTTTCTTAGTCCGTGTCCTTGCATGTGTAAGTTCCTGTTTTATTGTGAAGGTCTCTGTCTTATGTCAGTGTGTTCTGTTTACGTTTCCCCTGCCTCGTCAGCTGTGATGTCTTCCAGGTGTGTTCCCCTCCTGTTTCCCATCCCCTGATTCCTGGCGTGTGTATTTATAGTGTGTGTTACCTCGTCCTCGTTGCTGGTTCGTCTGTGTTATTTGGTGTTTTCGTGTCTGTGAATCTCCTGCCGTCTTCCTGTGAGTTCTCCCCGCAAAGTACTCTCATTTGTGTTCTGGACCCTATTTCAGGAAGCCGGTTTAGAAAACTCAGAGTGAAAAATTATACTCAGGGTTGAGTAACCCCGAACTGTCCAACTCGGAATATTCGGTTTCAGAAAGGCTGATAACAATTAGTTCAGTCAACGCGGAGTTGCTTTAACCCCAAGTTAAGCGCGCACGAGGATACATAAAGCCCTGATTAGTGGAGCACAGATTAAGCGAGTCACCATGGAGACGGAGGGAAAGAAGGCGCGGTCAATGTATTTTACAGCGCTTGAGGCCGAAATTCTGATGGCAGCATATGCCGATAACATGCAAATTCCGCGGAAAAAAAGTAACACAGCCTCAGCTGCAAAAGAAAGGGAGCATGCATGGCAAAACATAGCCGACAGAGTCAATGCGTGAGTGTTAATTTAAACATTGATCTAGGGATTTCCACCCATTTAACACGTTATTTTATTATATTTTATTTTATTTTTTATTTATACATTTTATTTTGTGATGTGATGTGAGCGCAGGTGCAACCCAACAGGCCCCAAACGTTCCTGGCAGCAAGTAAAAATGAAATATAAAAATATAGTCCAAACAGGTAAGGTGTAATTGTATTATGAGCCATAGTGCTTGGTCTGTTTGTCCGATGTAAATCAATTGCAGTTAGAGGCTACATTAATTTCCCCTCTGTAAGCACTTATTGAAATTATCTGAGCACATTACAAGTACATATTTGCTTACTCTGTATGCTCAAATGTGACCCGTTATAGCCAACAGAAAAAAAGCGGAGGCCCGAAAAACAGGTGGGGGTCCTCCACCACCACCACTCACAGAGGCTGAGCAGTTGGCTTCCACATTTGTGATAATGTTGGCAGCATCACATATGATCTTCACAGTGCAGAGAACACAAATTAGCATCCATTACTATAATGAAATAATTTGTTAGTTTGAAATGCTACAGGGAACTATGTACCTGTACATTAATGCTGTGGAAAGACTTCCTGTTCACATAGTCTCCTTCATTTACTGAAGGAGCAATGATTGGAATGTGAGTGCCATCTATACAGCCAATCACGCCTGGGAACCGTGAGAATAAATGTAAAATTTAAGTAGTAGTTCAAGTATCACCACATCATGAGATTAAGTTTCGTTCATCCTGATACCTGCAATTTTGTGGCATCCCTCTTTGATAAATCTTGTGGGTCTATGACCGGGGAACACCACAAACGAGTACAGGAGACGTTTCAGTGCAACTGTAACATTCCTGACTGCCCGACAGACGGTAGCCTTGGAAACGTGCTCAGCGTCACCAATATTATACAGAAAGCTCCCGTTTGCAAAAAACCGAAGTGCAATACAAATAATATGTACAGAACTGAGAGAATGTCCGCGATGTGTCACATGAGCAATATTAGGCCTGAGGATGTTATTCAAATAAATTATAGATTGTGCTGAAAAACGGTAACGTTCACACAGAAAATCATCAGGAAATGATAAAATGTCCGAACGCGCTCTAATCACTCTCTCCCGGCGGAGAGCTCTGCGGAGAATTTGGGCTTCAACATCTACTGGCTCTTCAAGGAAGGGGCACGCCATGTCTGACACTTCCTACAGTCAGGTTTCTGACAAAGAGGCGGAGAAGGTCAGGGTTAGTTGAAGTAAACCTGCTAGGGGGCAGGTTAGCTTCACGGAGTGTGTCGTCATAGTAACTCACTCAGAATTAATCTAAACTCGCTTTGTGAAACCGAAAACCCAGAGTTTTCGTTAACTCAGGGTATACTTACTCAGAGTTTGCACTAAACCGGCTTCCTGAAATAGGGCCCTGATTTTGTGATTTAAGTTCTAGTTTTCCCAGTTTAGAGTATTTTCAGTTCTGTTCTCGCCACCTTTTCTTTTGTGTTGTACTTCATCCCTTTGATTAATAAAGCTCGCTCACTACTACGCAGTCTGCATCTTGAGTCCATTTATATTCACACATGGCCTGCCTCGGCACCCCGTGACATAGATAATATTTTCTTATCTATTATACGTGTTAAACTTACATCTATTAATTTTTAGTATACATGATTATATTCTGATTAGAATGAAGGATAATTAACTATCAGCAAAATCACATATGAATTATGGTTCTGTCTTCAACCATTAATACTCCTTCCTTCATTTAAAATCATGTTTGCTTGGATTGGCAACAGCATTATTAAATGCTTCATTATTAGCAAATAGGGGAAAGCTCTGTTTCAGCACTGTAATTATTTTCAATCACATAAGGCTGGATGTTGAGATCTTTTACTTCCTCTCAGCTGTGAGGACAAAGACAGTGGGGGACTTTAGTTTCTCTAAACCTCACATCACCTGACAAACCACGACCTGGATCTTGTTTCAGGGACTCTTATGTATTTTTGTATCTAAGCAGTGACAAACTTTTTTGATGATAGTTTGTCTGGTTTAGTGTAAAGCGTGCGCCTACCTTTGTGTACCAGAAGGATGACAAGGTTGTTGCCCTTGTTCTTACTGATAATCCAAAAATGAAATTATATCATATCTTCCTTGGAACTGGAAAAACTATTTTTAGTTGTATAGAAAATTAATTTCTAGCAGACATTGTTTCTTGATTTGGAAAAAGTCTTCCATTTTACTCTATTTTGACAGTATTTTGGTAGCATGTTTAGTGTCATAGAAGCTGGAGTTTTTTTCAGTATGCTGTTGACTGTAGCAACCAATTCAAGTTTAATCATAAGGTTTAGTTTATCTGCAATTGATACGTTGTAAAATTGTGTGCTTTTTCACTAACAACAACAACATCCTATTATTTCTTTTGTCTATTAATGTCTTCCACAGATCAGTAAGCAGCAGCTACAGACAGTAAAGGAGCGTTTCCAGGCGTTTCTTAATGGAGAAACTCAGATTGTAGCTGATGAGGCCTTCATCAATGCTGTACAGAGCTACTATGAGGTAAGTTGCCCTGTTTGATTTAGATTAGTTGGCTTGAAAAAAATATTTAATGTAATTATGCATCAACTGAATCATTCCAATAGTGTGCTTATGAAAACTGCTGTGTCTGAGAGGCCACACTCCACCTTTTGTAGCTGACCTCTTGTCTTCTTGTTGAAGAAAAAACATTCACATATATTTCAGTTAATTAGTCAATTATGTTACATAATATTTTCTCTTCACTTTTTCCTCTTTATAACTGTGTGCCAATTACAATATACTCAATTTAACTTTTTTTTACATTTTTTATAAATCATACATATTAAAGTCAGTGATTCTTTTAGATTCGTGGCTACTTAGTGTCACACACACACACTTTTTCAATCCCACTATTCTTGACATCTGAGCCGTCTTCCCATATTTGAGAATATTATGTTATTCATCCTGGAACATGACTCTGACACCCACTACCTCGTCATCACTTGTTCTGTTCCTCATGGAGCCTAAGGGTGTAGCACTTGAGGTGTAGCATCAGTGGCATCTACAGTTGATGAAATAATTATTTGATCCCGTGGTGAATTTGTAAGTTTGCTCGCTTAGACAGAAATGAGCAGTCTTTCATTTTTATGGTAGTTTCATTTTAACAGAGAGAGACAGAATAACAAAAACCAAGAAAAACACCCGACATTATATAAAATTTCTGAACTGATTTGCATGCACTGAGTGATAAAAGTATTTGACCCCTTAAATTCTGGCTCCCACAGAATGATTCTGTGTCCATATGACACAGATTACAATCAGTTGATCAATTACAGATTATTCTCATGTGTATAAAACATACCTGTCCACAGAATCAATTTCTTTCATTCCAACCTCTCCACAACTTTGGGAAAGATCTATGAGCTGTGAAAGAACAGCGGGGGCAAGATGGTATACCTGCACAAGGGTTACGTATGCATATGGGTTACAAAACCACTGGAATCTTGGTGAGAAGGTGATAACTGTTATTCATTGCAGTTATGGAATAAATTTAATATGAACATAAATCACGCTCGCCCCTCTGTGAATAGCTACCTTATCATGGTGGAAGGGTTTGTGTGTCCCAGAGATCGCAGGGGCTATGTTGTTTTGAGGCTTTTGCCCCCTGATAGGGTCTCCCATGGCAAATTGGTCCTGGGTCAGGGACCAGACAATGAGCGATTCAAAAGAACCCTATGAGTTTACAATTAAGGGAACAGTTCACCCTGCCCGGGATAGGGTTACCAGGGCCCTGCTCTGGAGGAAGGCCCAGGGAGGGTCCCCGAGGGCAGGCTTTTGGTGGCCAGTCCTTAGTCCATGGAGCCCGGCTGGGCACAGCACGAAAAAAAGATATATGGCCATCCTCCTGTATGCCCACCACCTGCAGGAGGCACTGTAGAGGTCGGGTGCAATGTGTGCCGGGCAGCAGCAAGGAGCAGAGGCCCTGGCAGAGTGATCCCCGGCTACCAAGACTAGCAACTGGGACATGGAATGTCACCTCTCGGGTGGGAAAGGAGCCTGAGTTATTGGGTGAGGTTGAGAGGTACTGGCTAGATATAGTCGGGCTCACCTCAATGCATGGCTTGACATCTGGAACCAGGGTGGGGTGAGTATCCTAGTATCCCCTCTGCTTGATCCCTATGCGTTGAGATTTCTCCCAGTAGATGAGAGGGTTTGTTCCATGCGCTTTCAGGTTGTTTAATGGGTATTGACTGGCGTCTATGGTTGTGCGCCGAACAATGGTTCAGAGTACCCAGCTTTCCTTGAATACCCTTGGCAGGGTACTTACATGTGCTCCACCTGGGGACTCTGTTGTCCTGCTTGGAGACTTCAACAATCATGTGGGTAACAACAGTGAGACCTGGAGGGGTTTGATTGGGAGGAACAGCGTCCCAGATCTGAACCTGAGTGGTGTTTTGTTATTGGACTTCAGTGCAAATCACAGTTTGTCCATAACAAACACTATGTTCAAACATAAGAGTGTCCATAAATGCATGTGGGAATAAGACGCCCTACATCATAGGTCGATGATCGATTCATATCACCAGACCTGCGGCCATATGTTCTGGACACTCGGTTAAAGAGAGGGCCTGAACTGTAGACTGATCACCACCTGGTGGTGAGTGGTATCAGGTGGCAGGGGAGAATGCTGAGCAAACGTAAACCTAAACGTATAGTGAGGGTGAGCTTGGAATGCCTAGCAGAGGCCCTGGTCCCAGAGATCTTCAAAGCACACCTCCGACAGAGCTTGGACAGCATTCTGAGGAAGACTGATGATAGCCAGTCAGAACGGACCATGTTCAGCACCCCTATTGCCGAAGCCACTGTACTGAGCTGTAGCCACAAGGTGGTTGATGCTTGCCGTGGTGGTATTCCCCGAACCAAGTGATGAACACCAGAAGTGAGGGGAGCTACCCGGCTGAAGAAGGAGTGTTGTCAGGCTTGGTTAGCAGTGGCTGAAGTAAAAACTCAGGTGTGGGAGGAGTTCGGAGAGGCTATAGAAAAAGACTTTTGGACTGCCTTGAAGAGATTTTGGCAAACCGTCAGGCAACTGATGAGGGGAAAGCGGTGTTCTACCTGCACTGTGGGTGGAGCGCTGCTAACGTTTAATGAGAACATTGTTGAGCAGTGGAAGGAATACTTCAAGAACATGCTTAAGCCCATTAGCACGTCTTCCGTGGATTAAGCAGAGTCAGGGAATGAGGGGGACGACTTCTCTATCTCCAGGGGTAATGTCACTGAGGCATTTAAACAACTCCTTGGTGGCAGGACCCCTTGGGTGGTTGAGGTTCACCTTGAGTTCCTGAAGGCTCTGGATGTTGTAGGGCTGTCTTGGTTAAACACCCCTCTACAATGTTGCGTGGAAATCAGGGGCGGTATCTCTGGATTAGTACATCAGAGTGTTGGTTCCCATCGTTAAGAAGGGGGATGAGGATGTGTTCCAACTGTAGGGGGATCACACACCTCAGCCTCCCTGGGACAGTCTATGCTAGGTGCTGGAAAGGAGAGTCCGTCCATTAGTTGAACCTCAGATACAGGAGGAACAATGCGGTTTCTGCCCTGGTCATGGACCACTGGATCAGCTCTTTACCAGCTCAAGTATACTTGAGGGTGCATGGGAGTTTGCCCAACCAGTCTACCTATGTTTTGTGGAGCTGGGGAAGGCATTGAACCGTGTCCCTCGGAGTGTCCAGTGAGAGGTTCTTTGGGAGCATAGGGTATCTGGCCCATTGTTACAGGCCATTTGATCCCTATACAACCATTGCAAGAGCCTGGTCTGTATAGCTGGCAAGAAGTCAGACTTGTTGATGGTTGGTGATGGACTTCGCCGGGGCTGCCCCTTTGTCACCAATTCTGCTTGTAATTTTTATGGACAGAATGTCTAGGCATAGCCAAGTGGCAGAAGGCTTTTGCTTGGGTGGTGTCAGAATCTCATCTCTGCTTTTCGTAGATGATGTGGTTCTGTTGGCTTCTTCGAGTGAAGGCCTCTAGCTCGCACTGAAATGGTTTGTGGCCAAGTGTGAAGCGGTGGGAATGAGAATCAGCACCTCCAAATCTGAGGCCACGGTCTTGAGCCAAAAGAGTAGGGTGCTCACTCTCGGTCAGGGATGAATTCCTGCCCTAAGTGGAGGAGTTTAAGTGTCATGGGGTCTTGTTCACGAGTGATGGGAGAAGGGAACGAGAGATCGACAGATGGATTGCCACTGCGGCTTCAGTGACAAGTGACAAGGTAGCATGGAGATGCAGAAAGGTGCAATAAAAAGTAAGCAAGCTGTCCACACCTGAGCCCTTGGAAAAACAAAACTCATAGCTTTGGGCAGCGCGCTTGAAGAGGCACAGCAGAGAGATAGAAGGCAGATTAAACCAGCTTTTCTCCACAAAATCAGCATCTTGTTGAATTCAGTTATGTACATCCACAAAGAGTAGCAGGTCAGCTGATCACAGCCTGTAAATTAAAAAATCTACTGGAACTCTCAACAGAAATTATTGTGTAATTTTTCTCCATGCTGAGCTATTACAACTGATTTTAGTGTTCACCCACTGGCTGAATCCCACTTTAACCTCTGCCTCTAAACAGAAAAATGAGTAGGGACAAGTCACCCTCAGGCAACAGAAAATAGAGCTTCTTCAAAAACTTACCTGATTCATGCTGAGTAACCTTATTACAATTAAAGTTAGGAATACAAACTGCTAATACTATTTTATTATTGCATTAATAGGGCACAAGGTTCAGTTCAGCTATGCATGAAGATAGATGGTCTTTAAGGAGCTACTTTTACTTTCTGACTCTGAGCACATTTCAGAGCTGGTACTTTTTAACTTTTATTTCAGTAAAGAAGTTAATCAGTAACTTTTACTGGAGTATTTTTTAACACTAGTATCTCTACTTCTACTTAAGTACTTTTTTTAAGTTAAGTACTTTTGCCACCTTTGCCAGTGCTGAGAGGACACATTTCCAAGAGCAAACACACTTGTTCTGTGCTGAGAGTGGTCGCGATGCAGAGTTTGGGTTCATCCTGCGATCTCCTAAGAACTACCTGGACTGCTTTAGTAACTGGAACACAAGTGAAGAGAATTGTAACATCAAATGAGACCATTGTTTAACCCCTTAGCAGTCCTATTAGTCCCCTAAACCATCCAATGTCCCGTGGGCGGTACGTCCGACTGCTAACAGTTTAATCTGCCTCCGTAATAACATTCTCACCTTCTCAACAAAATCCAGCGTGTTGTGGATCTTGTGTTTTCAGTTGCCTACCACAAGTCAAGTAAGCAATCTACATAAAAAAGGGAAATATCATCTCTGAATCAAGGAGGTGACTTAAGGGTATATCTTTCACAATCTTACAATCCTGTGATTGCAGCCATTCCCCAACTCTCTTTGAATGGTGCTCATGGTCATTCATTAAGCATTACAAGCGTATCATTCATTAATGTAGGGGAAACCTGCATTCAGCCGAGACTGAAGAAGTCACTTGGATAAGTGACAAAGCGTTTTTCCCACT